ATCATGTAAAACTGTCTGATGGAGGTGCCGTGTAAAAATTGCTTTTATAAACTTACGGTTCAGTTTTTAAAATCAAACAATATAAATGTATGATACCTCCATCGTGAAAAAGAATACGCTACACATTGTGAAATTTGCTAGTTTTTACAAGGCAAGATCAATAGATACAATAAAGTTTGACAAACTTCAGGACAATCTGGACACATAAATTCGAGTTCTTGATGTATTTTCATGTGTTCTTGTATCCATTTAACATTTTCTCCACAAATGTCACAAAGGGATTCAACTGAGCTTATAAAAATGTAATTTAATTATTAAGAATATTTCGGGCAAGTTTATATGGAACGTTTATGATTCGCATGTAATTTTTTATGTGTAACTCGCGTCGGAGAGTAAACGATTTCGAACAAATCTCACAAAAATTATTAATTTTGTTATGGCTGTGTTCATGGATTTGTTTCAAAATATGTATAAATCATTGAATTACCTTTCAGATGGCCAGAAAAATATCCAATTGATGAAAAACTCAAAAAGGGCCTCCCAAAAATGTTCGACCCCAGGCCCAAGAGATATGGGAGACGAAATCGAAAATTTCAAAAGCACATATATTCTCAGTTTTCCATCTACTTTCAATAGAAATTACAAAAAAAATGTTTTTTCAAAAACTACGGAAAAAAAAGAGGACATACAAACACCCCAAGCGACCAATTTTGAGGTTTTTGGCCATTTTTGGTAAAATGACCATATTTAATCCACTTTTCAAGCGATCGTTATGATATTTTTTTTTAACATTATCTACGCAGTCCCTAGATTCCGAAAATGTAAAAAAATAAATTCGAAAAAAGCAGGTTGGTGGTCAAAAATTGAGAAAAAGGAATTTTCAGCGATTCTTTCAAAATGCCACCTGGCGGCCAAATTTTGAATTTTTTTAATTTTTTTTGCGGATTCTTAATTTGGTGCCCGAGCACTACTAAAATATGCAAAAACCCCTTTACAAAAGTCAGCGGTATCGATTTTCATTTCTTTAACGTATATATAGAGTGACGCAAAATATACATATTTCATATGTATGGGGGTATTGCGTCACTTGGGGGACTGCCGTCCCCCGTGATATTATTATTATTATCATTCAACGATTATTATACCAAAAAAATGCTAAACAGTTTTGAATTTGAATTTTTCAGTTATTAATACAGCACAAGAATGATTTGAAAACAATTCTCTTTATATGCTAGGTTTAAAAAAAATTCCTAACCCTGTAAAAGTTTATTTGATTTAAAACACGACTAGAGAAGATGTTTTCACTTTTGTACGCTAAATGAATATTTGTAAATGCAATGAAAAACAATATTGAATTTATTGTCCTCGTTGTCATGTACCCATGATGGTATTTATAACATATATTTCAATTGAATGAATTTTTCGAATTAAAAAAATTAACTTACTCGACAATAGATTGATTTTCCTTGGAGTTCTCGTTTAAATGTTAGAATATGAATGGTGGCTTCAGGATTTTTTGTTGACACAAGTCAGTCACTATAATATGAATGAGAGAAAAAAATAAAACTTTCATATAGACAATGCAAAAAAAAAGAAAGTCATAGAAATTATATCAAAAAATAAATAAAAAATAACCTTTGTAGCCTATTTTTCTAAAAAGAAAATAATATATGGTTTAGAATGTGTTGTGTTCCAATTGAATGAATTTTATTTTGTGGTTATGTGTTACCAATTATCAAAACTGAATGACTGAGAAATTTATTATATCATATATCATTAAAAATTAATTTATTTTATAACTGAGTAATACTTTGAATCTTTGTTTAAAATCTACCTTTAGTTTTTATATGATTTTTACATAAGTATAATCAATAAAACACAAATTTTCTGTGTGCACAATATTTGTTCTAATATGTGAACGAAATACTATGTAATATACAGCAAGTCGATCAAATGTCAAACAAATTGAAATGTCAAATGCATGAGATTGATTATTTTTGATTTCTTGTCTGTCAGTATCGCCACCTACTTCAATTATCTCTTTGTATTTTACAACGTTCGGCATTATACTTAACGGAAATTTGCAACAATGACAACGCTGAAATTGACCATCATATTTTGAATTAACTACCAAAAAGCATTCAATGATGAAATTTTCAGATTCTTCTGAAAGATCTTTCAAAATATCTATTTTGACATAGTTCAAATAAATTTTTATGTTTATTATCTCATTGGGTCACTACATCGAATACTTGACGTATGCTCTATCTGATTAAGTATTACTTTATTATGAATTATCTAATGATTTTTATTAAAAAGTAAAATATGTAATTTTATGATGACGTCTTGTTTGTATGTTAAATTTATTCATATGTTTGTTAAATATTGTACTTATGTCATTTAATCTTTTTCATTTGCGTAAAAATTATTCAAAAAATAAATTGTTTCTTTACTTTTACAAAAATGTCTACACATTATATCAGGCATATGAAGAAATAACAAGGGGACAGCAAAAGAAGAATATGGTATTTGAATGTCCATGAAAGAATGTTGAGATTTCATTGAAATGTAACACAGCCATACAAAAATAGTTATATTTCAATAAAATTTGAGAAGAAGAATTTAATAAATTAATATTTTTTTTTAGGGAGCAATTTACAGTCGTTCTTATTCAGGAGGTCGGAAGCGAAAACATGATGAAATTGACCCGGAATCCGGTGATGAAGTTGATTCCAATACAAAAAAACACCTCAACACACCCGTTAAGTAAAAAGAAAAGAACGAAAGACCAAAAACTATGTAGATTTTGAGAATTTGTTCTATTTTTTTGTAGAAAAAAATTGATGACAACGCCAAGGTACATATACAAGACGTTTTTTCAAGAGGAACGTGACTCGGATGTATCAGTGATGGCATTAAGCAAAGTGTGGCATCTTCATAAAATTTATTTATGTCAAAGTCCATATTTTGCAAGCATGTTTAGTGGATCTTGGCGTGAGCGTGAACAAAACTTCATTGGTATTGAAATTGTAGATCCAAAAATAACTCATGAAGCTTTGAATACAGTTTTTGGCTCATTGTACCTGGATGAGGTTATTCTGGATCCAAATACGGTTGTGTCAGTGTTGGCAGCAGCTGCATTATTACAATTGGACGGGTATGTAGACTATTTTAATACACGTCAATTCTACGAATGGTTGAATTGTAATGATATAATACTAATAATTGTTGTTTCAAACTTTAATATTTTTATTCAGATTTAAAAATATAATTTATTTTTTTAATGTTTTAGGTTAATTGAAAAATGCTGTGAAGTTATGAATGCCACTATAAATGCAAAGGTATGTGAATGAAAGAGATATGAGTAGATGATTAGATTCGATGTTAATCAATAATCAATTTATCAATAGACAGCTATTAAATATTATGAAGTTGCATGCCAATATGCAGCCTTGGATGTGAAGAAAAATGCTTTGAAATGGTTGGAAATAAACTTGTTAAGTTTCTACTCGAAACACGGAAAATGGTTGGAAGAGCTAAATGCTGATTTGCTAACTGATTTAATTGATTCACCCGATTTAGTCGTAATGCAGACAGAATTCGCATTGTATGCACTATTAAAAGTGTGGATGTATCTGAAAATTAGTGCAACTAAGGATGAGTTCAGTGAACGTACAAAAGTTATAAATGCTAGCGCTAGCGAACTCATCAGCCTAGCGTCAAATCATTTTTCCAGTTTAAAATCAAAAACGCCGTTTCTTTATACGCGAACTGGCCAAAAATTTCAAAAACCATTCCTGAAATTACGAATGCAACATTTAATTAATCATCCCGTCGATATTAAACTCATTCTCGAAGAGAACATCATTCCGAAAGACTGGCTGTACTCACCATTTATGGTCCAATGGAATTCACTCATTAAAATTGACAATGGCCTTGATCAGGGGTGAGCTATTATTATACTTTTTATTGTGAAGTTTTTTTTAATTTTTGTTTATAAATTAATAGTCCGATAGATTGTGATGAGAACACGTTTTTTCAAACGTGTCTGAGGTGTGGAAGGATACTAGATAATGACGCATATCAAAAATGGCGCTGGACAGGTTTCAATTTTGGTGTTGATTTAGTGTTGGTTGCAGATACTAGAACATTAAGCATAAAACGTCATCATCGCAACGATAATGAACGATTATTAAGTTTACAATCAAAGAGACATTTTATGTTACGGTACGTTCCCAAAAAACTTCATGTTTTCACTTCTATCTTTTACTTCTATCGATATTATCTTTTTCCACAGTATTACCTTATTTTCATTGAATGAACAACGTCAAGTTAAGCATTCACAAACGACAGGAATAAAAACAATTAGTTTAGATCGAAATGAAGAGAATCGTCTAATATACTTGGACTCTGAGCTTGTTTATCCTTTGTTAGTATCGTTGAATCTTCTAGTCACAACCCCTTATAAATGTCCGGTACCACCGAGCGAAGAAATGGCTTCAATACCTTCAACATCTGGACAGTCGTCACAAATTACCAATGAATCCGATATTTCAACCATTGGTGCCATCAAATCGAGCAACAGCAGTGAAGATATCAATTCAAATTAAACTTTGTGATGATTGATTTAATTTTTTGGTTTTGTCTTTTATGTAACTTACTAAAAATATTTGCTGTGAAACAAGAAAAAATAGTTTGCTTCGAAAGGAAGAATGGAAAATATATTACAAATTAAAATAGGAAATGGACAAGTTTCGTGGAAATGATTGGATTTTATTAACATTTATAATCCTATTTTATAAATTCTATGTATTAATATGTAAATTTGTATTTGTAATTGTTTTTGAAGCTATCATTTCATTCTCCAGAGTAACAATATTACTAAATATCAACACCTCCTTGTGTAGAAAGAATAGTTTTAATTTTCTGTAGTAGTTCACGTTTTACAGCGTCTGGAACGAGAGCACGGGCTTTTGGTGTAACCTGCTTAACAATTTTCTCTGCATTCACGTTTCCTCCATCTTCTTTGATAACATCACGGCATAGAAGTCGAACTTCATCATTCCACCCACATTCAGTCAATCGCAAACGGAGTAGATCCTTCAGCCTAAAAAATTATTGACGTATTACTGCTTAAGACGAAATAAAAATACATTGACAACTACAATTTTTTTATAGAAATGGAATTACTTACTTTGCTCGGTCACCGAGTAGTATTGTCATTTGATCCACAGCTTTTGTCAAAGTCATTGTGTGTTTGTAAAATAATATGGAAATAAGTTTTAAGTTTCCAATTATTTGATAAAAAAGTATTTTTTCAGTAGTTATGTTACTATACTGTTTAGCATTACCTAGAGTTGAAGGTTTACACATTTTGACACATACCATATACTTGAGATACTAGCGCCAATTTCTCAATTGTGAGCCATTGTGTGCACATTTCATTGTTAAATGAAACCTATGGATTACATGCAAGTTAAATAAAAACAATCAATTGTATGATTTCTCTTGCTTTATTTACATCGCATTTAAAATTAAAAAAATGATCTTTTTTAGCATGGACTTCCGTATTATCTAACCGATAAGTAATTAATTTTGTAAAATTGTTGCCCGATTTGAATTGCCAGTTCGGTACTCAAGCAGAAAGCATCATTACTAACTAGACAAGAGTAGACAAAAGAAACATCAAATTGCGTGGAATTGAATGATTCTTTTACATACATGAGCAGAATGTAAACTTTATTGAAATTTGACGTAACTTAAATTAAGTGAACTTACAAGAATAAATTTATAATAATGCAATTCTGAAAAAAGCTACCGAAACTGAATGTCATTTAACTCTAAAATATATTTAAAATTTAAACTTTGAAACTACCCAAAAATTGCTGAAGCAATGTGTGTATTCTGTAGTGTGTATTCTGTATTTCTTTGTGTATAAATAATATAATAATTGTTATAATCAAACTTATTTTCTGCATAGCAAACTGAAAATTAAAAATAAACCTTCACACTGCAATGATGACATTACAATTCGCTTATGGAACAGCAGTATTTCTTGTATGGAATTCCATTGTATTCGCCGAACAAGCAAAAGTTGTCGATCTCAACGAAGATACTTGGCGCATTGCTCTCAATAAAGAATGGATGATTGAATTGTAAGTAAATTAAACTATTACTAGTTTTGGTTTCAGTCTTCATTAATACGAAGGTTAGTGATACAGAAATTGTGTTTCATTTCACATAACAAAGGCGGCAACTGAACTAAAATTCCTATCTCAAAAATGATAGTACACATTTTTTAGATTTTAAACTTGATTAAAGATGATTCGGCATGCAAACTTAAACAAAATGGATTACCCATGCAAATTTGTAGTTTTATTTTTAAAAAATTTTTTATCCTAAAAGTCCTTGGGGACCTTTTTGGAAAAAGACTGATCTAAATTGTGTATTTTAATTATTAAATCTCGTGCAAATTAAAATGAAAAAAAATCTTAATAGCTATGCTCCATGGTGTCCAGCTTGCAAGAATTTTGCTCCTGCCTGGCGAAAATTGGGTGAATGGTCAAATGACATTGGAATAAATACGGCTCAAATTGACGTTACAACATCACCAGCTCTAAGTGGACGTTTTCTTGTTACAGCATTGCCAACAATATTTCAGTGAGCAAAATAGCAATTATTTGATTTAAACCTACTTCAAAGATTGAAACGCTACAATTTTTATTTTAATCAGTGTTATTAATGGAGAGTTCCGACAATATCGAGGGCCTCGCGATTCCGATGCATTAATTTCATTCATAGAAGAACAAAAGTGGAAGGAAATTGAACCAGTTTCACCATGGAAACATCCCGATTCTGTACAAATGGCAATTGTTTCATATTTTTTTAAACTATCGCACTATCTAAAAGAGGTCAATAATGTAATGCTCATCGATTATGGAATGCCACCATGGCTGACTTACGTTTTATTTGCCATCGTAACTATTTTGCTTGGCGCTTTGTTAGGGTTGATTTTGGTTTCAATTATTGACCTTATCTTCCCGCCTGTTTCACAAAACAGCCGCAAGAGTTTCTCTCAAGGTCAAAAAAATTCAACAACAGCAACTGATGAAGATGCTCGTGATGTCATCGACGATGATGGTGAAACAGAAACATCAGCTGCCGTTTTGGCCGACAAAGAAGATGATGAAGAAGATGCTCAATCAACATCAGGCACTGATTCAGATGAAGATAAGAAATGTGAACGTATGTATAACACATGTGTTTGTGTGGGTGCGTGTGTATTTTTTTTGTTTGTGTGGTTTAAGTAATTGTGGCTAAATGGTTTTGGAATAGTTCCTTTATGACAGAGTTAACCTCTGAAACTGGTTTTATCTTCAAAATGGTCTCATAAATGTATAAGTTAATGTGACCCATAGATGACGATGGCACGACTAGAATGTTTTGATATCCGTTCTAATGGTGGCTTGAATTTTTTCCAATATAGAACCAACTTCGAAGACGAAACAATTCAAAGAGACTTCTCCAGAGACTGATATAAAAAATTCATCACAAATATCACCTGGAATTCGAAAACGTAAGACAAAGAATCTCAAATTCAAGCAATGTTGCAAATGTGTTGCTTTTAAACTAAGTATTTGTATGTTTCCATTATAACATATTGAATAATTTCAGGCAAGCCGAATAAATCGCATTAAAAAGATGTTAACAAACCCAAAATTGAGAATTTAAATGTAATTTTAGGAACAGGAATACAGATTTCATAATTCAGTAATAAACAGTAAGACAGTCATACTGTTGTTCGAATTTACTGTTTATTAAGAAATAAAGAATAATCAATAATATAATTACAATTATATTAACATCAATAATATATCTTTTGCATTCATTTGGCATATTTTTTCTATGGGAAAAATATTTCTCGCAACTATAGATTTTATTTTATAACTAATGTATAAATTAATATTTATAAAAAATAATAAAATTTATTAATATTTTGTTTTTTTTTTAAACATTTCTTTTTTACATATTCAAAATGTAAATGTAATGTTGCTGGTTGTTCGATGTTTGTTTGACAGTATGATCTAGTATACGAAACCACTGGATTTTTTATTCGATGAGAATTGCAAGAAATGATTTTAACATTCCTTCGATTCATTTCCATTTTCCAGTCTTTTCATCCTAGGTATAACACCATTGTATGTTTCTAAAATAATTGCTAAAATTCTGGTTATATTACAAACTGCACTTAAAATATGTGGTCTGTGGCGTTTATGGCTTACAAATTCTATTCTTTTACTAATATAGTCTCCATATTGACTAAGTCGACCAACTTCAATGTAATTTTGCAAATGTGGCGAGTACATTTCGAATATGGTGGCAAAGCTTTCAAACAGTTCTAATTGTTTAGCAGGCACATTGACGACACGAAAATGAACATTCATTCCTTTATATATTTGTGAAATCAATTCTATAGTCTCGTTCCTCTTTTGATTCATTTGCTTTTCGGTTCCAGCCAGGAATAATTGTATTCCAGTTGATTGTGAGACATCGAAAAGGCCCAGATCGTTTTTTTTT